CAAGGTAGAGACGAATAGCAAAGATAGAGATATAGTAGAGAAGAAAATATCAAGGTTCATAGAGCAAGGGTTTTTGCAGCAACTTATAAACCTTAAAACGACCAGTTTCTACTAGGCTTGCGTCCTACAGTCAACACAGCTCTGATACAAATTTGTCACACCCAATTTTAAGGATAAAATTGAATGCACTAAACTCATGTGTGCCCAGGGATCAGTCACACACATAAGTTGACAAATTATAAAAAGTATCATCACGGTGTATCTTACATAACGAATAATAGCATCACATAGTCTTACACATCACAGCGGAAGGTAAAAAGATAGCTCTCTTGTAGTAGCTCCAACACAGGGACGGTCGACTGGTTGACCCCAAGCCTAATAGTCCTCAGGGAACTCCTCATATCCGTTGTCATCTGTTACCCATCCGGGATTTTTATCCAAATATATAAAATAAACAAGCGTAAGTACTTCCCGTACTTAACAAGACAACATGGGGTTCATGAGGCTCAAAAAGGATGACACTGGTTTACTGCAGTTAGCAATTTTTAGTAAGTCAAGATTTTATCATCAGTTATTATCAAGTTATGCTTAAGCTCCCATTTAAATCCACATGATCATATATCCGATCCAATTGAGTCATGTAACATCATCATAATATCATCATAATCATCTCGTATAAACAACATTATAAGTAGCCATCTATTCTATGAGTTTTCCGGGCCGCTCGTGACCGTGAGCATGGTTGTTATAACAGTTTGTTACCCTCTGCAGAGGTGGTGCACATTCACCGCGAATCGTGATTTCCATATGCCCGGGTTAATTACTCCCATATCACTACAAAGGTGAGCGGGCAGGGTACACTATGAAGCCATTTCATAGGTTTCTCAAACAAGTTAGGGCCACTAGGTTTTCTTGGCAGGCAGATGTAGGAACCCCACTTTCCTATGGCACATATCCATCGCGGCTATACACATAGGAACAGAGGCAGTCCTATACCCAACGTGGCAAGCCCCTTTTGTGCTATAAAGGTAACCTCTAACAAGCTAGAAAAATTCCTATTACTGAGCTAAAGTCAGAGCCATATGACCCTCACGGTTGCACTGTCAGTCCCAGCTTTTGCCGACAGATAAGTCCTTAGGGAGGGCCGAGAGCATCATGATCGAAAGTCATTTGCTCCATCGCCCTATAATCCAGTTGTTTAAAAGCAACGTTTACCTTTTCTTTCCATACAATCATTGTTCAATGTGTAGCTCATGTATAGTTATGTTGAGCATTAGCAAACTACCCATATGCATATAACCCATAGGAGACAAGGAACAGGATAATCAATCACTAGGATGTCCTTACGGGTATCAAAATTAGACACATGCAAATGAGTAATTAATAAAGGTGAATAGGCATCAAGGTAGATCCCATGCTATACTTGCCTTCGTTAGCAAACTCCTGCTGATCCTGCTGGTCGTCGAAGAACTCTTGGTCTCCAACGTTCTCCTCACCGTCTAAACGCGACAAACACGGCAACATACAACATTCCACAGGCATTCATGCAAAGCAAACAATTCTACAGTTAGAACAGTACACCAACAGTATAGAAAACAAGATAACATGTTTATTAAAATAATCTATGTCTCGCTACGATCACGTCAACGCGAAGTTCATGAAAACCGGAGCTAACACGCGAAAGTTATGAATTAAACGGGGTTTTCTATAGCACTTTATTTAATTAAAACTAATCATGAAATTCAAAAGTTGCAAACTTGATTAACAGTGGTACTAACACGTAGATTATGAAATTACGAAGCTAACGCAATTTGAACGGATCAATTCGGAGCTAAAACAAAGTTTTTATGAGCAAAACAAATATAGTGGCATTTCTGTAAATACTGAAAACGTATTTTGAACTAAAACAGTGCACTTTACGTTTTCAAAACGAGAAAGCATACTCTGGGAATTACGCTAGGGACTGCGGGTTCAATTCATCCCAAACCGAGGGACTCTTTAGCATATTTACACGCGAAGGGGTAACTTCTAATCCTGGCCGCAGATCTGAAAATGGATGGCTTAGATCGGCTTGGGGAAGGAAGAGAAGGGAGGCCCGGCCGGCACAGTGACGCCGACGACAAGCTCCATGGACGGTGGCGTGGAGGTCACTGGCGCGCACGGATAGGGGCCTACGGGCACGGTCAGAAGAACCGAAGGCACCGGGAGATGGAGGGGGTTCTCGCGAACCCATCCAGGCCAAGAATGGGGCCGGTGGACGCGGTTGGCGCGGTGGCCGCCATGGCCGGCGAGCAAGAGCTCACGGGCACCCGCGAATAGGGCTCTAGAAGCCACGAAACTCAAAATAAACGGCATGGGAGGAGAGAGGGGAGTACGGCGAGGCTCACCACGGCGAAATTCGGAGCGGAGGCAGCTTGGGGACGGTGGTTCGCGCGGAGGGCAGACGGCGGAACCGGCGACCTCGGCGCGGCGGTTGCTAGGGCTTCCTCGGTGCCTGGCGAACACGAAGAAGAGAGCGGGGAGCAGCAGGGTGCTTGCTGCTGGGGTTTCAGCCCTTTAAAACGAGGCCGAGGAGCGGGCGACGCGCCCGTCGCGCGAGGAGAGTGGGCGCATTGGTGGCGGTTGCGCCCAGTTGCTGGGAGGAGGAGGAGGTCAGGCGTCAGCGACATGCGGGCCTAAACCGTCGCTGGTGAGAGCGGGCGACGGAAGGCGGTAGCGGCTTTTTATGGGCTGGGCAGGCGGCGTGTTCTTTGGGCCATGCGAGCAGGCGTGGGCGGCGATTCTTTGGCGATCTTGGGCTGTGGAGAGAAGCTTACTCGGCTCGGGTGGGCCGCCCAAGAAGGAAAGAGAGGGGAAGCGAAAGCGGGCAGCAGGGGAAGAAAGGCTGTGGTGGGAAATCGAGGGAAGGAGGGAAAAGAATTCCTTTTCTTTTTTTCCAAATACATTTTCCATTTTCATTTTCAAGTTGAATTTGAATTCAATTCAAACCTTGGTCAAATCTAATCATTACAAAAACCAATGTGCAACAGCATGAATGCATCAACATGTTACTAACCTTATATTTGGTTTTATTTTCACAAAAATTATTTCTTTCCTATATTTAAATGCTCACATAATAACATAATTAAATCGAATTTTCTTATTTCAAAAGACTAAAATTTTTGGGTGTTACACACCAGGAGTCTTGTGGGCCCATGAATCCACGACAACGTCAAATCTGAGCCCTCGTTACGAACCGACCTTCAAAGGAGAGGCTGATTGCTGGGATCTACAGGCCGGCCGACCTATAGGTGGGGCTGACAGGGTGGGGTCAGGACTCGATGGTTTGCCTTTGCTCTAACGATTGGGTCCACATTGCCGGTTTTCTGAATAAATTCTCCTATAAACACAGATTCACCAAAACTTATGAAATTTATTAGTTTAAATCCCTAGACCTATGTATGGTGATGGAATTAAGTATATATGCAGAATATGTTGATGGTTTATGATAGATGTTAACAACCATCAACACCCTATAAATCGATTTGCAGGGGCGGGTGAGGATTTGTAGAGACGGCTAAAAAACGAGTCGCTCTTATAAATCTGTTTTCCAGAATTCTCAAATATGGACCAAAAAATAGCAAAAAACATTTTTTTTAATCCTAGAAGGCCCCACTAGGCAGCCAAACGCCGGCGCCATCCTGGTCACAAGTCGTACCATTTTTCGCATGAAAATTGAGCGCTACGCGGCCGCTGGGTTCCAAACCCGCGACCTCAGCCACGCACGTTCCTCTCTCTAACCACTCCACCCCACACTCACTTTGTCTATATCAGATATTCTTTCTCCTCATATTATGCTCAACTGACTTTAAAATGAGTGTTTGGAAATCTAAACGGATTCAAATGAAAATATTGTCAACTACAAAGTTGTTTATCTTTTTTCAGATCTACAACTTTCACTTTTGTTGTTTCTCCATCAGTGGTTGTTTGAAAGATTTAAATTTTAAATCTAAAAAGTTCAAAAGTAGTTATCCTTAGCTAGATGATTTTAAATAAAAAAGTTGTTGGCTATAAAGTTGTATATCTTTTCAAGATTTACAACATTTGTTTTAGTTGTTTCTCCATCTAAGATCATTTTAAAAATTTAAATTTTAAATTTGAGCACACATGCCCCAGCAGGCTCATTCGGGATTGCTGGTGGAATGGAACAAACCTGCCTGACGAATCTGTAGGAAAATCATGAGCACATAAATATGGCTCTGAGTTAGGATGACCACTTAAATTTTGGGAAAGAAGGGAGGGCATGGAAAGGATTTCAATCCATTGCTTCTACCATTTCAGAGAGAGGGAGACATGGCTCAACAGGCTACATACAATGCCGCACCTCGTACGCATCGTCCTCGTACAGGTTGTACAACGCTGGCCCATGCGGTCTACAAGGGACCCTCTCCAGTCTGCGGCCGGCGATTTGGTCGCACCTGTCTCGACGGCTCCGTGCCACCGTCCGCGTAAGCAGAGGCGTAGGGCAGGCCGCGAACGCCAAACTGGATAAACCCGTCACTAGCAAGAACGTGACCGGCACTGAGCAGCCCACAACGGCCACGTCCACGTGGTGAGCAGGCACAGGCGCAGATCGCTGGGAGGCTCTCAGCGTGGCGGAAATAATATACGAGTATTTGACAGAACCTGCATGGTGCAATCATTAGTGGGAGCAATAACGATCCTGACAACGATTGTGGAACGGAAACCACGTCGGCTTAAGAATTTAGCATGGTTTGATTCGCCGGGTCATATGCCACCATGTCCCCAGCTTGTCGATCAAGCTTAGGTAGCTTAACAACAATAATTAACTACAGTGTGATCCCCTATCATTATGAATTCCATGGCTGAAATCACCCCCCCCCCCTCTCCATCAACCTATAAATAGCCCGTCCTACATGACACCTTCAACATGCATGTAGACCTCAACCTTGCAGTGATAAGCAACACATACTGTTAGTTTGTGTGAGGTGAAGATAACAATGTCAGTGAGGAAAAGAACCCCATGGCTCGGCCTCCCCTTCTTTGTTGTCAGCATGCTACTCCTGCAGCTTACTTTGACGGAGGAGCGGGAGGTAGCTTCCATGGTGCGCCTTGGGCAAGATGTTGGGGAGGAACATGATGCCATGGTGTTTAGGGACAAGAGCATGGTGCATGGTAGCGTGGATGCTAATAAGGACGGCGGAGGCGGCGGTGGAGATTGCGGAGGTGGTGGTGGTGGTAATGGAGGAGGAGGAGGAGGTGGTGGTTGCAACGGAGGGGGCGGTGGAGGAGGAGGAGGCTATAGTCATAAACGAGGTCAAGGTACTGATGGTGGAGGTGATGGTGACAAACGGAGAGGTAACTATGGTGGAGGCACTGGCGGCCGTGGCGGCAGCCCTGGCAGCGATAGCCGCAGCGGCAACGGAGGCGATGAAAGTGGCGGAGGTGGTGGTGGTGGTGGTGGTGGAGGAGGAGGAGGAGGAGGTTGTGGTGGTCTTCTTTAGGAAAACCAATATATGTTCTTATCATGATGTCGTCTTATCGCCTTTAGGAAAACCAATGTATGTTCTCATCGCGATGTCTTCTTGTGCTTGTTAGTTGTGTCATCATGTCATGTATGAATAATAATCGTTGTGTCCCCATGTCATGTATGAATAATAATTGTACTTCATGTTTAATGCTTGATGACTTGTTTCATATTGCTTACAGTATGTATTCATAAAGGGAGAAAAAAACTAACACATTGTTGTTATATATATATATATATATATATTATAGGGCATGACTGGTTCATGAACGAACCCATCCTAGCTTGTATCTAGGGGCTAGGCTCTCCGTAGCAAGGCTCAGTGTATGCTACGGTGTTTGGTTGTTTGCACAAAGTTAGGCTGCCTCCAAAGAGTTGTTTGGTTGCTTGCCCTGAGACGGACCCAGTGAAATAAAACGAATCTAGTATCACCTAAAAAATACAAAGGTATTTCGCCAACCATACCTTGGTGTGCGCGCCTCTGCCAAAAAATTCCCAGTCTGATACGAGTTGTTACTGGTATCGTACGAAACCGCAGGCCCCATGGCCCCACCCCTGATCTGTTTCCTGTCGCGCAGGTGCTCTCGCCAATCCCGCGCGAAACAAGACCGTGTGGCTGCTCCTCCTTCGGTGCCAATTGTTTTTCGAGAAGTCAATTTTTATTAACTTTAATTAATTATATATTAAAGAATATTAATATTTATAATATATAATTTGTATCATAAGATAAATCGTTGAATATATTTTTATAATAAATTTAATTGGAGATATAAATGGTACACATATTTTCTATAAAACTAGTTAAAATTGAGAAAGTTTGATCTGCACAAACGACTTCTATTTTGGGACGAGGGAGTACGTCTGCATACTCACATGCAAGGGCAAGGCATATACCGTTTCCAAATCCAGTGGTGATCACCCGGGCCAGGTCACGTAGATTAAGGGCTCGTTCGTTTGAGGCAGTTTGACACCAGGATTCATTCCTGCTGATAAAATCTTATACAAATAAACCGATTGTAGGAATCGTTACCGATAGTACGAACGGCTAAACCTGGCTCCCTCGCCCTCGATGCTGCTGACGCCTGGACGTGGTGTTCCGAGTGCACGCCGATGTGCCGTCGTCGAAGCAAACAGGTACCGCGTGATACCGCGTGCCGCCGCCACGATGGCGCACCGAACGCGATGTCGATGTTGACGCGATGTTATACGTCTAGGGCTTGTCAGATCCGCTTTTTTTGTCATCCAAAGCAGTGTTTTTTCTCACAGATGCAGCGCACGGTAAAATTCAGTGTATATATCTTTTTTTTAATGTCACTTTAACACAGCCCTAGTATATAAACAATTATCATCGTAAAATTTACTACGTGCAACCATTATTTTTTTGCTCTTAATTTATCTTATTACTCTTAATATTAATAAAAAATATGTTAATATCATTTAATATGTGTTAATAATGCATAAATAACATCATCAGACGGCTAATTACTCGCATCCCACGAGCCTAGCATGGGAGAAACGGCTACTATCCTCGGAGTCAAGCTGGAGGACCCTTTTTGCGGTTGAAAGCCAAGCCCAAAGTGCTAGTACAGCAAACCAAACAGACAAAAGTCACACCCCGTAGACGTAGCCAAGAAAAATCCAAGCAACCAATCATGCCCTATTTTCCTTTTTTTAGATAAAAAAAAAAGACTTCCATTCAACACGATGTCCATGCAAATCATTGGACACAAGAACAACTACATGATGTGGTACCTGGTCCATCCACATTACAGTTCATACCCAGGGTTACTAGAGAGTGCGCTACTGAATTACATTCCCATGGCTGCTGAGGCAATCACACCCTACTATTTTGATGTTGAATGACACCGACATGTACTCGTGGCTCTGCAGAACAGAACTGAACATTACAGCAAACAATTTGTACGGATCTAGATAACACTCTACAGTTGCAAGCATCATACGTAGGTTAGGGTCATCTAAAAAGAAACATTGTTACGGAGCGACAAAACTGTGAGCAACATAAAACCAATAACTATGTCCTGAAAGCAACATAAAACCAATAACTATGTCCTCGGCACTCGTTTAGTGTTCAGTATTGCTTCCTCTTTCAGCTAGTACCGAGGCACAAAGTCACACAATATGGAGGCAGGTTAAAGGGGAGGCCATAGAGTTTCAGACTGTTTGACAATACAAGTTGAATAGCAAATTAGCAATGCACCGACAACAGTTACATACAATGAATCTACCTGACTCCATTTTCCAGAGCTCAAATACTGGGAACAAGCTACATACTACATTGCTACAAACAGTACGCTTTATGCCGGTTAAATTGAAAGGAAACCATGGACATGTTGAGCATCAGGCTATTAACATCCTAAACTCTAGGCTTAGTAACTTTGCTTTAGCTACAATTCACAGCCAATGGGCACAGCCGAATACACACAGAACTACGTCAACTAATGAGTTTAACTTGATACAGGAGAGATCTAGCATGGAAGAGTCTTGAAGCATTAGGATCAGCAAGGAACTAGTTTTTGACGACGGTCAGGGTGAGAACTCCACCCATAAGGCAAACCTGAAAGAGAAACAAGTTGGTTAGGGGTGTGGTAAGCACAAAACAGGTGCTGAGTTCACAGCTGGTTCCACAAGAGTGCACACAAGTAATCTTGTAATTTTGGGGGCCTAACACAAGCAGGACAAAAGAAAACCCTTGCATTCAATAAACAATAAATTCAGAGGTGTATAGTCTTATTAAAATAATCAACTATGCATTTCTCCATTTTAGTATCCATTTTTATAGATGAAAGTTTCAGATTCGGAATGATAAAACATAGACCTAGCAGTCTACCATTGGAAAACAAGGGCATACTTGTATTATTGAGCTTCATTGTGGCATCAACATTATTTTGATTGTTCAAATGGTGCACGCACAAATAGCTGCCCATGGAGGGTGACAACTGCAGAGGTTTGGTGAGGATCAATGCGGGAAGGCAAACTAATGACCTGCAAAGGATGCACAAGTTTCAGTAAGGAGTATATCATTAAAAGCGAAAAACATCCATCACGATACAATTCAAAGAGCTCACAGACCTTCTTGAATGGAGTGACACCCCATGGGTTATCCAATTGCTCAGGCTCTCCAGTAACTATCAAACGACCAGCAGGGTCAGACTGAACATGTACCTGCATCAAAACATGCATCAGCGACTCCAACTTTTGCAGCACATAGAGGAGATCATGATTGAAGGACAATAACCAACCATTATAAAAGATTTGCATTTACTTACCTCTTCCCGCAGAAGGCCAGGAACCAACGCATAGACTTCATAGCAATCTTTCTGAAAGAAACAAAATTGAATGAAAATAAATAAATTAACCAAAACATAATCTCTTTCACGAAATGCCCTCAAGTGATCATAGTTTCACTGATTCCTGGCTAGCCTATATTCTTTACGAAAATTTCCATAATAACCACAAGACCTAACTGAGATATATGCATTTCATAAAGAATCAGTGTGTCACACGTTCACTAGCACAATTTCAATGCTTCAAAATTTCCTTCAGGAATTAATGGAACTGAGAACTATGAGGAAGCAACAAACAAATAAGAAGCAGCATAAAGCTATAATAAGATTTAACAACAGATAAAGGTGAGATACAGATGCTCACAGTTTTCCTAACGTTTATTTTCACCCAATCAGCGGGAGGGCCCATGTCAATGACCATCGAATCATTTCTGCCAGATAGCAATATTTCATCCAATCAATCAAAGTCCAAGGAGGAAGGAGGAAAAAGGACTAGTGCCATGCCAAACCTAAATAGTTATTCAAATGGATATTATGCCCTGTAGGACTATTATTATCCATGCAAAAGAACAGAATGAAGCTAATTGTGTGAAGCCGTGTTGCAATTCTTACTGATTTTTTTGACAGCAATAGATAGGAAAATGGAATGCAGGATTTGCGTGAATATTAAGTGCTCAGGGGATTTACTGTAGCTTATCAGACTTATAAGGTATCACCCTGTCATCTTCCAGGGATGGTGTCCTTTTCCTCTTGGCAGAACCTACACAAATCCAACGATTAGTAAGTTTTTTTTTTCTCAAACAATGCATGAGAGCTGCAATTCATTTCATTAAGAAGAAAAATATAGTACAAGGAGAGATCAAGAGGCCTGTCCAAGACCCAATCCACTCACAACGATTAGTAAGTAATGGCATAACGGAAGTAAAATGAAACAGAATGCAGAAAGGTACCACTGCTTTTAGGAGTTTTATCCTTCTTTAAGACAATTGGCCCTTTATCCTAGGGAAAAATAAAAAAAATATTATTATACAACAAAATGAAGATCGCTAGTAACCCTTGATTTGAAAGCAACAAATACCTTAATTACAGGATCAGTGATTTCACCATTGCCTAGTAGGCGCTGAGAATGCCAACCTTGCATTGCACGAGTTGCAGATTCTCTTCTGGCTCTTCCAGAACCAGATACATGGCTTCCACCCACCTGGGCAAACATACAGTGATACAACCTGAACTTTAGTCTCCTTGCGTATCTTTCCCATGTTTTAGCACAACTGCTTGAGCATCCTGTCAGCACTTAGAAGTACTCTCTCCGTCCCGAAATACAAGGTGTGCACATATCTCAAACTCAAAATTTGTTATCTTCGACCAACAATTACTCTAATCATATGAAAAGCTCTTAAAGAGTAAAGTCCACTGGCTGTCCTTAAACTTGTTAAGTTGTATCATCCCGGTCCCTAAACTCACAAATCGTGCATTTAGGTCCTCAAACTTATTCAGTTGTATCATCCCGGTCCCTAAGCTTACAAATCACCCGTTGAGCGTTCTCAAACTTGTTCAGCTATCATCTTGATCCCTAAACTCGCAAATCACCCATTTAGATCGGAACAGAGATTGAGTGCCTAAATAGGCGGTTAGCGAGTTTAGGGACCAGGATGACATTGCTAAACAAGTT